AAAAAAAAAAATAAGTGACACACTGGAAGACAAATGTCACATAATTTCAATTTTATGAGTAACCTAGAAATGATGAACTTATGGGAACAGAGAGCAGAATTGTGGCTATTAGGCTTCAATGTGGGACTTTTAACAATGGGGAAACGATTGGTTTAAGGATATAAAACTGCAGTTGGACAAAAGGCATGGACTTTGTGAAGTCTTGAGGTCTACTGAGAGCATGATAAATATGGTTGATAACAATATGCTATATTTTAAAAGTTGTGAGGTAGTATACTTTAAGTGTTCTCAAAACAAAAATGATGAATATGTGTGAGATAACATGTTAATTGGTTTAATTTAGCCATGCCATTGTGAACATACTGTATTGTGTATCATAATTGTGCGTGACTTTATTTTTGAGCTAAATAAATGAATGAAAAAAAGAAATTAAATTGTTTTTGGTAGATTATTATTTTAAGGTATGTGACTTTTGTTTATGCAACATTTGGTTATCTGTGTGAAACTATGTTACTGTGCCTGTCTGAAACACCTGGTTGTCCTAATAAAACACCGAATGGCCAATAGCGAGGCAGGAGCAAGTATAGGTGGGGCTGCCAGGCAGAGAGAATAAAAAGGAGAAATTAGGAGCAGAGAGCAGCAGCAAGAGAACATGGAGAGAAGGAAGGCAGGAGCCATCCACCCAACCAGCCAGCCAGTCACAAGGTAAGAAGGAAAGTAAGATATATAGAAGTAAGAAAGATAAAAGCCCAGAGGGAATAGGTAGATGGGTTAATTTAAGATAAACTGGCAAGAAACAAGCCAAGCCAAGGCAGGGCATTCATAACTCAGAATAAGATTCCATGTGTGACAGGGGAAGTACTTCTGTGTATGTTTATCTTATTGATTATTAAATAAAATACTGTTTGGCCAATGAGACAGCAAGTAGACGGGACTTGGAGTCAAAGAGGATTCTGGGAAATGTAGTAGAGAAGTGCTGATCCAGGCAGGAAGTTGTTACGATAAATTTTTCTGCCAAAAGCTGCCTGAGCCCCATCGCCACGTGTGCGCTTTATGCTAGCTGCCCGCCCGAGTTAGGCCCAAATAAATTATACAGAGTCTTGTATTAGGTTCAAAGCTGCTTGGCCAATGACTAGGACTTCTCATCTGTTAGCTCAGTCTTAAATATCATAAATCTATGTCGATATGCTCGTGCCATTGTGGTGCTCTTGAACATTGTACTCGGCACTTCTGAGATGATGAAGACAGATCCAGATAAAGAAAACTTCTAAAGGTTTACACTACATTTAAAAATATATGTGGGCTCCTGAGAGAAAAAGTAACAGGAGGAAATAGATTAGCCGGTTATGGTGGCCAATGCCAGTAGGATTTGCTGAAGGAAGCAGAGGCAAGCGGATTTCCACAGAGAAACCCTGTCTCAGAAAAAAAGAAACAAAAGAAAGTAAAAATAAAGTAATAAAAAAACCACATAAAGATGGAAAATACACAGAGAATCTGGATACTATATGCCATATTGTTGTCTTTAAATTGATTGCTGAGGTTTATAAAACAAGACAGTACTAAAGGGTTCTTGTTGAAATGGAGAAGTGTGCCAGACACACTATGGCCTATGGGCTGAAGATGGATGCCCCAACATTACAGAGGAACTTTGGGTTACTGTCCAGGTAGCAAGATGTCTCTAGTCAGTTCTAGAGTTTACATATTATCCTTCTGTGGTCTTTGATAGAGTTAAAGACAGATAGTTATGGTTATAGTTTTCTTCAGTTATTATAAAAGATAAGTTACCCTTCTTTTTATTTAGACAGAAAAGAGGAGATGATGGGGAATGTACTACTGTGTATGTTTATCTTATTGATTATTGAATAAAATACTGTTTGGCCAATGAGACAGCGAGTTAGACAGGACTAAGAGTCAAAGAGGATTCTGGGAAATGTAGTAGAGAAGTGCTGATCCAGGCAGGAAGTGACATAGCAAGGAGACTCATATTTAAGCGAAAGAGAAACAGGAAGGGCCCTTTTTCCCCTCTACTCCTGCTCCAGCGGCAAGATGTGATCCCAGCATGGAGGGACGCCAATAAGGTGTCCGATAAGATAAGTCTTGTAAAATATATAGATTTATGATATTTAAGACTGAGCTAACAGATGAGAA